ATATTGCTCTTTACAGCATTGGACCTTGCTTCCATCACCAGTCACATCCACAACTGGGTGTTGTTTTTGCTTTGGCTCTGTCTCTTTATTCTTTCTGGAGTTATTTCTCCACTGATGTCCAGTAGCATATTGGGCACCTACCGACCTGGAGAGTTCATCTTTCAGTGTCCTTATCTTTTTGCCTTTTCATACTGTTCATGGGATTCTCAAGGCAAGAATACTTAAGTGGTTTGCCCTCCCCTTCTCCAGTGGACCACAGTTTGTCAGAACTCTCCACCATGACCCGTCCGTCTTGGGTGGCCCTACACGGCATGGCTCATAGTTTCATTGAGTTAGACAAGGTTCTGGTCCATGTGATTAGATTGGTTAGTTTTCTGAGATTGTGGTCAAAATTCCTCTCAATTTCAGTTGCTATTCTCATGTTGACCTGCAGAACTTTCCAGTGAATTCCCGTTGGAAATTTTGGGGTTCTTCTATCCCCTAGTCTGTCAAATGCTCCAATACTTACTTCTGCTTTCTTTCAGACAGAAGCTGATGCTCTGCAGGGTTTTTTGACACCAGTGGCATATCCACAAGCTACTGGTATTTGAGATTTGATAGGGATAACTTAACACCCAATTATACTGTAAATACTGCTCATGGGGTCAGGGTTTTGCTATCTAGCTGTTCTGGATGTTTTTATGTGGGGATTTAGGGAAAATAAAGAACTATGCTGCTGCCACTGCCATCTTCCCAGAATCACTCAAGTGATTTTTTTCTTTACTGGACTCTTGGGTCTGGCTTTTTTCTTTCTTTTATATTATTAGACAGGAAACTAAAATACCAGGTGGTCTGGTTCAGTTCCAACACTTGGCAACTCCAATGCTTCCCCCAAAGACCAAAGACTCCAGGGGACCTGGCTTCACATCTAAGCTGAGGACATATACTGGCTCTGGCAGGAGCAGCCAATTTTTAACACTGCGCTCTCAGAGCATTCACCGCCCTTCCCTTCTGTCTTTCCAGCTTGGGGCAGGCTGAGCAACACTCTCGGGCTGAGACTAGAAAGCCGGGCCCGCAGTCTCGCCGAGGGGTCCTGCTGGACAGTGCTGTTCTAGGTGTGGCCTGTGCCCAGTCACTCAGTCGTGTTCAACGCTTTGCGGCCCCATGGCCCCATGCATCCACCAGGTTCCTCTTGTCTGTGGGATTTTCCAGGCAAGAATACTGGAGTAGTTGCCACTTCCTCCTCCAGGAGATCCTTTCAACCCAGGGATCAAACCCGAGTCTCCTGAGTCTCTTGCACTGACAGGCAGATTCTTTACCACTACACCGCCTGTGAAGCCCCAGGGACAGCCTAATTCTCTGCTATTCCACGTGGGGAATAACTGTAAAGGGATTTTTTGTTGTTGTTCGGCTGTGCTGCACGGCTTACCTAACGTCAGTTCCCCAACTGGAGACTGAACCTGGGCCACAGCAGTGACAGCCCAGAATCCTCACCACTAGGCCACCAGGGAACTCTCAAGCAAAGGGATTTTAAACTTCACTGTTACTTCATCCTTTTCACGAAGCAAGGGGAAAAAAAAACAACTCAAAAATACAACAAGCAAATAAAGGTAAATAGATTATAGAAGCTACGCCATCAGCCAGCAAGGCCCATGAAGTCTTCTAGAGGAGGCACAGGCATTGCAGCTTGATGCCTGCGAGAACAGACTAGCACTGCACTGCCCAGGACAGTGGTCACTGGCCACACACGGCTGAAGGGTTGCCAGCACTCCAACTTCAGAAGACACAGTGAGCTTTAAAGATTTAATGTGAAAAAATAACGTAAAGTACCTCCATAATTTCATGTTGCTTACAGACTGAAGTGACATTTTAGACGTACTAAGTTAAATAAAAAATATTTTTTAAACAATTTCACTTTTTTAATGGGGCTACTAAAAAATGTTTAATTGCATATGTGACTCAGACTATATTCCTGCTGGTCTAGGAAATCAAAGGCCTTCCTAGGTGGTGCCAGTGGTAAAGAATCTGCCTGCCAATGCAGGAGATGCAATAGTCTCGGGTTCGAAGCCTGGGTCAGGAAGATCCCCAGGAGGAGGAAATGGTAACCCACTCTAGTATTCTTGTCTGGAAAATTCCATGGACAGAGGAGTCTGGCAGGCTACAGTCCATGGGGCTGCAAAGAGTCTAACACAACTGAGCTACTGAGCACACACACACAGGATGCCAGAAGTCCTGGTTTTAAAGCCCGGACAGACAGTGCCAGAAGTCCTGGTTTTAAAGCCCGGACAGACAGTGCCACTTACTGTTCGTGTGAAGGGGTGACTTTCCTCTCTACGTATTCACCTGCTCACCAATATACAGGGAATAACAAATAGACCTGATTTGCAAGCCTGTTGTGAAAAGTAAGTTAGATTAATGCATGTAAACATTTAGTACAAAACCTAGACAAAGGAAGTGTTCCAAAGTGGGAGCTGCCCTTGTTATCATCACCTAACATCAAGTAAATAACCAGAAGATGAAGGTTTCAGACCTGGCTCTGCCCACATCTGGTTCTATGATCCAGGTTTAAAAAAAAAAAAAAAAGTGCTCGCTTCAGCAGCACATATACTAAAAAAAAAAAAACAAAAAAAAACCTCTTAGATCCTCTCTTTCTTAGAAAGTCAGGAGCTAATAATCTGCCTTATTGAGTTTTTCTAAGGACTGAATTCATCTCATCAACATGTATTTACTGAGCACCTACTATGAGCGAAGCACTGTTCTGGGCAATGGGGAGAGGGCAGTGAACAAGCCAGATAAAGTTCCTGTCCTTTGGGAGTTGGCAATCTAGTAGAGAAGAAGGGCCATGTGAAACACTATTACAGAGTGTAATGTCTGGAGAGGTAGGAAGGAAGCAGAGCAGGGTCAGGGCATAGGTGTAGAGATGCTACCTTAGCACATAAATCCCCCTACCAGCGCTGGCATCTTAAGAGCGATGGAGAAACATGCGGGACAGCACCACCAGGACAGAGGGAAGCAGCACAGGGCCCCGAGGCAGGGGGATGTCAGGTGAGCCTGAGGAGCAAATAGGCAGCCTGTGTGCAGCTGGGCAGCAAGGAGGAGGGGCGCGAGAGGAGGCTCGGCCAGACCCTGGGGCACAGGGGCCTTGAGAGGAAGGCCAGGTCTCCTAGTCCGAGGGGACCTCGAGAGAGTTCCACACAGATTTAAAAGGATCCTTCAGACACTGAGAGATGTGAGCCATGTGCAGGGCTCAGTGCAGCCTGCAACAAGGTAAATGTAGGGGTAAGTGATAGCAGAGCAAACAGATGGGGCACACTAGGCTCCAAAGGCCCCCGGAGGGCACAACACCTGTTAGAGCAAGGGGCCCTGGAAGAAGCGGGCATGGTCAGAAACACTGGCGAGTCCCCAGAGAAGTGCAGCCCGAGTCAGCACTTTGCAAGCGGGTCACCCCAGAGCCAGCATCCTCTGTCAACCCTCAAAGTGCAAAAGGAAGACTGCAGGTCACAGCTAAACGAGGAGCCTGGCCTGCTCCTCCAACGTGAAGCCCCACGGCCAGACCCACAGCAACACACTGGCTGGTGGGAAAACAATTTTGAAACATGTGTAACTACAAAATCTGTTCAAATGATATTGTCTATCATTACAGAGAACAGTCATTGTGAAAATATAGAAAGTACAAATAAAAAGAAATTAAATTCCAATCTTCTAGACTCTTACAACCAGAAACTACAGTCAGTAACGTGTTTGGCTATATAGATATTCAGATATTTGTGAATATGTAAACATCAAATATTTTCTTATACAAATATAAATATTTATGTGTTGTGCATGCTTTTTTAAAAACAGCACTATTCTCTATAACTTGTGCAGTAACCTGCTCCTTTCACATTTGTTGTTCAGTCACTCAGTCGTGTCTGACTCTTTGCGACCCCGTGGACTGCAGCACGTCAGGCTTCCCTGTCCTTCACTATCTCCCAGAATTTGCTCAAACTCATGTCCATTGAGGTGGTAATGCCATCCAACCATCTCATCCCCTGTCGTCCCCTTCCTCCTGCCTTCAATCTTGCTCAGCAACAGGATCTTTTCCAATGAGTCAGCTCTTTGCATCAGGTGGCCAAAGTACTGGAGCTTCAGCTTCAGCATCAGTCCTTCCAATGAATATCCAGGGTTCATTTCCTTTAGGAAAGGTTTGACTGGCTAGCCAGGGTTTGACTGGCTCCTTTCACTTACTATTCATATGTATTGTATAAACCTTCCAAGGTGGTTAAATTTCGACAGATAGCATTGTGGGTGTTTTTTACTCTTCCAAAGCCATTTATTATTTTGCTTTTATATAACTGTATAAAACATGTATCATACATTTCTTCCTTATTTCTTTTTCTAATTTTGATCTTCACAGCAAGGCAACAAGTATTCAAATTAATTCTGTATACAGATAGGTACAAAGGTTTTTCTGCTTAAACAGTTTTTCCAAATCAGGTATTAAAATACATCTACTGAAAATATTTATAGGATTTTTTCATTTTTTAAAATTTTTACTGAAATATAGTTTACAATGCTGTGCTAGTTTCAGGTATCCAACAAAGTGATTCAGTTATACACACATACACACACACACACACACACATATTCTTTTTCAACACTCTCTTCCATTATAGGTTACTCATTACAGATCCTGAGTATAGTTCCCTGTGTATCCTTTCTGATTATCTATTTTATATACAGTGTGTGCTCGGTTGTGTCTGACTCTTTGCAACCCCATGGACTGCAGCCCGCCAGGCTCCTCTGTCTATGGAATTTTCCTTAATTTCTCCCTCCCCCCAGAGAGCATCCTTTTTTAATGCTCCATGGGATTCATAAAGTACTCATAAAGAATACTTTATTCAGCAATCCCCTATTGTCGAATAATACGGGTTGTTTCCAATTTGAGCAAACAACTGTGAGCGGCAATCACCAACCCCACCCCCCACCCCCCAAGCTTCCTGTGGTGGTGCCCGGCCTCCCACATCTGTTCTGATACTTACAGCAAACTCCTCGGGAGTCACTTTCAGGACATCGAAGACGACGGCGTCGTAGCTCTTGCTGGCATAGTCGCAGCTCTGGCCCTCCAGAGAGTCTGAGCTGCTGCTGCCCTGCAGAGGACAGGGAGAGATGGGGCCGCCTGAGCAGTCTGGCTGACCCCACCATCACAGACGCCCAAACCTCAGAAGTGAGAGTGGCAGGACCATACAATGATGAGAGCTTCTGTTGTTTAGTGCTTTACGCTATTCCAGGCACTGTGTTAAGCACTTCATATGCATAATCTAACTTAATTCTCATAACAGCTCTCTGATGATGCACTATCATTAGTCCCATTCTACAGATAAGGAAGTAGGGGCCATGCCGCTTGCCCAACATATCTTAGCCAGGAAACTGAAGAGCCAGAGCGCAAGCCTGCTGTGTGTCTCCTTCAGTCACTATACTGCAACTGCTTCCGGCTGCCTGTGAGGCGACGGCTGAAAAGATACAGCCCACCCTTCACACCTTAGGAGGCCTGAGATCATCTGTTTTGTTACGTGTTTTTAAACATCACCTGGTTTCACCTTGTTTTTTTCTACTTGAAGTTCATTGCAGGAAATTATTATACAAAATGTCAAATTGGCTCTCAAGGCTTGTTTCACGTAGGGGCCACTTAGAATTCAAAGCCTGTTAGCTGATGAGGTGAGAGGTAACTGGCTGACTTTGGAGATGGCGTGAAAGTTATATTTAGTAGAGCCCCTTGTTAAGAAGAACGCCGTGAGGCCGGCATGTAAAGGAAAGGTCTCCCATTAAAGAGCAAGTTAAACTCCCCAGATGTGGCCAGTTTCATGAAACCCAACACTGTGGGGATCCCAGAACATTGAACGTACCTTCCCTTCAATTTTATTTAATTTCATCAAATTCTACTTTGGGGAACCAATCGAGCTTACCACCCCAAAACTGTGCCCTGTTCATAAACGGTTTTATTTGTCTCAACCCATGAAGAGGGATTTTGTGGTTTCCATTAACCTCAACATCTTGGACTGAGATTTAGAGAATATGCTTTTATTAATTCCCCTTTATTTCACTCTTTCCAAAATGGCTATATCTGGAAAAACTTTGCAATCTTACTGGAAACTAGAGGGTTTTTAGGCCAGGGAGGGAAACCAATAGTCAACAACTGAAAATGTGAGGTTACAAGGAGGAGCTGAAACTTAAACCTGTAGACTTCAACAGGCCTGTGTCATTTAGAGGCTTACAAACGAGTCTACTATACTAAAATCTCTAAGATGATCTTAAGACGCTCTGAGCTCTGAAATCAGACAGGCCTGCTAAGAAAGCCAGCTCCAAGCAAGCTGCTGTCTGACCTCTTCAGTTCGCTGTGCCTCAGTGACCATCCGTAAAAGGGCACCATTAGAAGCTCCTCTCCAGGGCTATGGCACGGGTTGTATAAAATGCAGCTTACAAAGCAGCTGGCAGGATCCCCTCCCTGGGTGACACTGATTCAAGGGACCTGGGAGTGGAGGGTGGGGGGATGGCTATTGTGATGGGACATTCTCCCCTAAGAAGAATGTGTGCTGAACTTCTGAAAAGTAATCAAGACTAATCCCGAATACTTCTGGAATTGGCCGTCTATTCCATCACTCAGTCTCGTGAACTCCGAGCTGGCGGCTACCAATAAATCTCTCTGCACGCCCACGATCCCCTCCCACGGAGCAGCCTGGAGCAGCTGACGCAGCTGACTTTCTTCCAGGCAGTGTCCTGTCATCATGGTCGGGACCAGAGGCTCCAGAGTCACAGAGGCCTGGCTATCAACCCCCGCCAGCTGTGTGATTTGAAGTCAGTTCATTCACTACTCCCTGCCTCAGTTTCCTCACCTATTAACTGGGGGTGAAACAACAGCACATGCCTGCAGGGGTTATTGTGAGGATTAAATGAGATCACACCTGTGGAGTGCACCAAAAAAGTGCCCGGTATATAGTAAGCACTAAATCATGGATGTATATCTGCATAAACATGTCACTCAGTCACCAAATGTATTGAGCACTTCAAATAAGACATGTATTCACTCATAGGTTCATTTGACACATATTATTGAGCACTCACCACTTTCTGGATACACATGTACGTGCATATTCGCATAGATACACATATATGTACACATATACAGCATATATGTGTGTGATATGTGTATGGATTCATATGTATAAACAGAGACTAGAAAAGAAAGAAGTTTTACTCTAGACGGAATGTAAACTGTAAATGGAAATGGAAGTCTGATTCCTCCAGTTACCAAACAGAGTCCATTCCTGGAATTTCAGATTTTATAACTTTCCTGTAACACCCCATTGCACCTGCCCCAAACACACACACTCATACAAGGGGCCTTATTAATCACAAGCTGCGCCAGATTCATTCAGTGGTGGTGGTGGTGGCGGTGATGATGCAGTAACTTTATTTAAACCTATATTGGCGCCATCTGGGAATTTTAACAGGTACCCATAAGTCTGCTTTCAGAACCACCGATCAAACTAAGGAATCTTTTAAAAGGGTGATAAGAAATGGATTAACCCCTGTGACTTCTAGCTGACTGCACAGGCTCATTTCAAAAGCCCAGCTCGATTGGGAGGGCCTAATGAGCGCAGAACTCAGAGCTCCCCTCTTGCCCATTTGTCACAGAAGCCCGGCAGTGTTATACATCTGACAGGGCAGACTCCCGGGCCTCAGATGACAACCCCGCCCCCTGCCCGCCTCCGTTCCATTATGGAACTTGAAAAGCAAACTCCCAAACCCCAAGGGCAGGAGCCGAAGCCCAGGCCACTCTCAACCACCAGCCCTTACTGCCGTTTCCTCCTGAGCAAGGTAAACAGGAGCGCAGGGCCAGCTGGAAACCCTTCTGTCTGACTTCATCCCGGAATGTGCGACTTACTTATAATCAGCCGCGACTTGGCTTAGGAAAGGTCTGATCCCTTCTTGCCACCAAAATGGAATGTGGCACTTGCTACGACTGGATGGGGCAGGTATTTGCTTTTCTTTGAAGAGAGCAACTTCAGAAAACACCCTGATCCTCAGGGCTGACTGCCTCCCAAATCTCACGCCTGGCGTGGCCGGGAAGGCTAAGAATGGTGGCATTCAAGGAGCTCTGCAACCCCCGGGCCTCGACTCAGGGGGCCTGGGTCAGATGCAAGGGCCCCTCCCCACAGCTCCCTCCCCCCCGACCCCATGTACCTGTGGAGTGGCGGAGGTGACCAACACGCTAGCCATCAGACCATTCCTCTTGTACATAGTCTCCGGGCCACAGGGAGCTTCAGGGCAGCCTCTGTCGGTGACATAACCTGTCTGGACAAGTCCTGCAAGGCAAAGGCACTCATAAAAACCAGTCTTCAAATCCAACTTAATCCCACCCTGGGAGAGAGCTGTGCTGGACGCGAGCAGGTGACCCCAGAGGATACCCTCAAAGAAAGGTTACAAGCTGTGGCCTTCAGGCTAAATACGGCCCACAGATGTGGTCTGTTAGATTTGTGCAGGTTTTAGGAATTTTTTTCAAATTAATCACCAACATTTAAAACTGAAATGTTTCACATAGAATTCTGGGTTTCTGACTTTCCTGGTGGCACTGGGTCCACTTTCTTGAGTGATGGCCATCAGCTGGATTGAGCAGCGCTGCTCCTCGTACTGAAGGGCTTCCTAGGGGCGTTCCAGACTCCACTTGGCCTGGGCGGCTACCTGGGAACCTGCCTGCCCCTGCCAGGTGCTAGAGTTTGTGACCTCTGTTTCAGTCTGCTGCTACTGCCAAGTCACTTCAGTCATGTCCGACTCTGTGCGACCCCATCCCTGGGATTCTCCAGGCAAGAACACTGGAGCGGGTTGCCATTTCCTTCTCCAACGCATAAAAGTGAAAAGTGAAAGTGAAGTCGCTCAGTCAGGTCCGACTCTTCGCAACCCCATGGGCTGCAGCCTATCAGGCTCCTCCGTCCGTGGGATTTTCCAGGCAAGAGTCCTGGAGTGGGGTGCCATGGCCTTCTCCGCTGTTTCACTCTACCGTCCTCTAAAGGACCAACCCGCCTTACACATCTCAAGGAATTCAACTGATGAAATAGTTTGAACTAATCAAGGGATAAAAATCTTCATATTCTGGAGACTTTATTTTCACATTTTTTATTAAACGCTGGACAATATCATGAAAATGTTTTCAAGAAATCATTTTAAGTATACAGATCAGTGTTTCTTACAGGTGAAATGCTAAAATAAGCTGCCTATAATAGCTAGGGAATATATTTTTAAGTTGTGTAGAATATTAAAAATTAACAACACAAAAAAATGTTTAATTTATGCAACAAATACGTTCACATAAATTTGGTAGGGCTTTTGAAAGAACTGATATTTGAGAAAAGATCTGGTTCACTTGCATTACGTCATACACTTATTATCCTTCGTTAGTATTAGGTGCCTCATACTTTAAATCTGTGACAAACCATGACAAATTTTTAAAGGGAAAGCACTACTGTAAAATGGAAGAATTATGTAATCCTAAAGGCTGTATTCGGAGAAGGCAATGGTACCCCATTCCAGTACTCTTGCCTGGAAAATTGCATGGACAGAGGAGTCTGGTAGGCTGGAGTCCATGGGGGGCGCTAAGAGTTGGACACAACTGAGCAACTTCACTTTCACTTTTCACTTTCATGCACTGGAGAAGGAAATGGCAACCCACTCCAATATTCTTGCCTGGAGAATCCCAGGGACGGGGGAGCCTGATGGGCTGCCATCTATGGTGTCGCACAGAGTCGGACACGACTGAAGTGACTTAGCAAAGGCTGTATTGCTGTACATTTAAATGATAATGCTCTGCTTATTTAGAGTTTTGAAAAAACAGCCTCTCTTCAATTAAACATTTTTATAATGGAATGATGTAAACTGAAGTGATAAAGACTATTATTAAAATAAAATCTTTATATAAGAAGACAGGTAATGAAGACAAACTAAATCTACCATGTTCCCTATGCACCAGAGTGTTTCATCAATAACAACATGGATACTGGCTAAGACCCGTAGAAGTCTCACCACGGGCCATGTGCTTTACCTCCAGTAATTCCTCTAACACTCACGGCATCCTCGGGTGGGTCTTGTTACTACTCCCATATTCCATATGGGGACTCTGAGACCCAGAGAGGTTAAGTAACCTGTGCCCTGCCATCCCACCAAACCATCATCATTCAGGACCTGGCTCAAATGTCCAACATCATTTCCCCTCGTTATCGCGCCTGAGCCACTCAAACCAGAACCACGGTTCACCTGCCAATGAGCACATGCCCCTAGTAGGGCATTAACCACATCACCAAGCATCAGGGCACTGTAGCCACCACCAGCTTTTGAGCAGGAGGGAGCCCAGGACATAACAAGGGCAGGAAAGGAGAAGGCAAAGGGAAGCCTGGAAGCCAACTGCAATTGTCAGGCAGGCGACGAGGGGCCTCTGCGCTAAGGTGGCAGCAGTGATGTGAAAAACAAGCACACGGGCTGAGAGGCGGTAAGGACAGACACACAACAGACACTGATGGGGGGAGGAGGGAACCAGCTGAGGACGCACGGCTTCTGGCTCCAGGTACCAGACGATGCTGTGTGCCTCATTGAGAAAACGAACAGAGGCGGTGTGGCAGGTTTGTGGGAAAAGATGATGAATCTGATTTAGGACATGCTGAATCCGTGCTGCCCATGAGAAAACCCATTCTGGGGAGGACGGTCAAACCCAGAAGTCTCTGGGAAAGATGGGCTGGGGGTAGATCAGAAAGAAGAAAGTACCAGCCCAATCTGGACTGCCTGTTATCTTCCCGGAGCCCTCAGCCCATCACAGAGCCCTGTGCCACCAGGAAACAAGTCAACAATCAAAAAAGGTCAATGCAACCCAGGCTCTGTCCCCATAGTCCCCAAACCACTCCCTCTTCTTCTTCAACCATCTCCTCAACCACAGCCAGTGGGCCTCCTCCCTGCCCTCCTTTATCCCAGAGCACTCAAAAGAACTAAGCTGAGCTATAAATGACACCTGGGGCTCAACTGGGGAAAGCTGAATATGGACATTCAGTTCAGTTTAGTTGCTCAGTCATATCCGACTCTTTGAGACCCCATGAACTGCAGCACACCAGGCCTCCCTGTCCATCACCAACTCCTGGAGTTTACTCAAACTCATGCCCATCAAGTCGGTGATGCCATCCAGCCATCTCATCCCCTGTCGTCCCCCTCTCCTCCTGCCCCCAATCCCTCCCAGCATCAGGGTCTTTTCCAATGAGTCAACTCTTCACATGAGGTGACCAAAGTATTGGAGTTTCAGCTTTAGCATCAGTCCTTCCAATGAACACCCAGGACTGATCTCCTTTAGGATGGACTGGTTGGATCTCCTTGAAGTACAAGGGACTCTCAAGAGTCTTCTCCAACACCACAGTTCAAAAGCATCAATTCTTCGGGGCTCAGCTTTCTTCACAGTCCAACTCTCAATATGGACATTAGATGACACTGAACTACTGCTCACTTTCTTTGGAGTGATAACAATACGGAGGTTAAGTAGCAGAAGGGCTTTATCCTTAAGCGATGTACCTGACAATTTAGAGGCGAAGTGAATTTGCAACATACTTTCAAATGTATCTGTAAAATACAAGTTAATGCTAACAACTGCCATTCACCAACAGTTCTATCAGTCTCTCAATTTTTCTGAACACTTGATAATTTTCATACTAAAAAAGACGAAAGAAAGAAAAGAACTGATCAGGTAAGTTTTTCCTCAAAGTTCAGTTCAGTTCAGTCACTTAGTCGTGTCGACTCTGCGACCCCATGGACTGCAACATGCCAGGCTTCCCTGTCCATCACCAACTTCTGGAGTTTACTCAAACTCATGTCCATTGAGTTGGCAATGCCATCAAACCATCTCATCCTCTGTCGTCCTCTTCTCCTATAGTCTTCAATCTTTCCCAGCATCAGGGTCTTTTTAAATGAGTTAGTTCTTCGCATCAGGTGGCCAAAGTATTGGAGTTTCAGCTTCAACATCAGTCCTTCCAATGAATACTCAGAATTGATCTCCTTTAGGATGAACTGATTGGATCTCCTTGCAGTCCAAGGGACTCTCAAGAGTCTTCTCCAACACCACAGTTCAAAAGCATCAATTCTTCAGTGCTCAGCTTTCTTTATAGTCGAACCCTCACATCCATACATGACTACTGGAAAAACCATAACTTTAACTAGATGGACCTTTGTTGGCCTCAAAGTTAGGGTTACGGCAATTTCATGCCAAGCCACTGACACCCAACCCTGAGAAGACACAGGGGCTCATCCTCACCAGCGAAGATGGGCACCATCCATTCAGCCATCCATCCATTCCTTCACTGAGCTCATACTCTGTGCACTCCTTGTTCTAGCCAGGAGTTCCTACCACTTTTTGTACCTTGGACCACTTTGGCCATCTGGTGAAGCCTATGGGCCCCTTCTCACAGAGACATTTTTTTCCCCCACAGAGACATTTTTAATTGAATAAAATTAAATTACACAGGAAACCAATTATACACATGACTATGCATGAAGCAAATAATATTAAAATTAGGTTATCAATTTATTTTCAAAGCCATTTATAATGTAGGAATATATGTATTTCTTCAGGTAAGGTTTTATATATATATATATATATATATATATATATATCACTGTATTAAATAGCAAGATCTATTGTGGGTCTAACAACAACCATAATTTCAAAGTAGTCACGAGCATAAATATTCTGAGGTGAAAGTGAAGTGAAAGTCGCTCAGTCACGTCCAACTCTTTGTGACCCCATGGACTGTATGTCCATGGAATTCTCCAGGCCAGAATACTGGAGTGGGTAGCCTTTCCCTTCTCCAGGGGATCTTCCCAAACCACGGATCAAACCTGGATGCACTGTAGGCAGATTAGTTACCAGCTGAGTCACAGGGGAAGCCCAAGAATACTGGAGTGGGTAGCCTATCCCTTGTCCAGCAGATCTTCTGATCCAGGAATTGAACCAGGGTCTCCTGCATCGCAGGCGGATTCTTTACCAACTGATCTATCAGGGAAGCCCAGTTTCCTGAGCTTTTGCGGTGCGTGCCCACAATTACTACGTGGTATGGAAGTAGGTATGATTTTATTGGTGACAAAGTCCCAGGTACTATAAATATTACTGTGATTTATTATCTATGTTAATAACGGAGGGAGATGTTAAACTTCAGTTAAAAGTCAGGGAAAATAAAGATGTCATTTTTTCCCATCCAAATTCAGGGAAAGCTGGTCAA